TCTGTTTCTTATAACACAACCTCACAGTTTAATTTAGGAATTTTACCCATATCTGCTTGAAATACAATCCTTTTTTTTTTTTTACAACATATATTTATTTTTGGAATACATAGACATACTCAGCTGATACTCTATTCCTAATGTGGCCACACATTTTCAAGTGATAGCCATATGTATTTAATGGATAGGTATAATGTTACCAGCCAATTTCTAGATACACTTGCCACTAATGTAATTTCCTGAAAATATTGGCTGCATGGCACCGTCTAGACTCTAAACTAAATGCTCTTCAAGTCTCTGATTCACACAAATCACACATCAAGTAAGGTCAGTGGAATATCAGAGCTTTTAGGATCAGGATCAGCAAAACAGTCAGACAACTAGCATTATCCAAAGGATAATTCAGCATCCCTTTACATTATCATTGCATTGTTTTTTTTCTAGGTCTTATTTGTGATTTGTATGTGAGCGCCCTCTGGTGTTCATGAACAGAGTAAGCCGTGTAAACGTTGCATTAGAAAACATTTTGATTTTTTTTTTCTTGTTTTTCCTCTGGCTTAAAAAATACTATTGTTTTTTTTCCATTCTGTATTTTTGTTTATCTATTAGAATGTTTTCTCTTATTATTTCCACAAGGAGTTATATTTATTGTTAAACAATATATATACAATTAATTGGACAAAATGCATACAACAAAGTGCAGTTTATATAGTCCAGTCCTTTTGTTTTCAGTTATGATGACTATGATTTATAAATATTGTTTATTTGATATTTCTTCACACCCACCTACTAGTTGGTAGCAATTTGTGCTACATGATTAATTCATTATATAATCATATTTTTATGGACTTCAAGTAGGTTTGAATGAATGTGACTCTGTGACACTTTACAATTAACTGTGTAATGGTATATTGATATATTTTACATGTTTTTGCAACAGGGCCCTGCTATCAATGTTAAAAGTGTGTAGGGTTAGGGTATTGGTCATAAAGGTATATTTGTATATTATTAGTTTATTGTAAGTTCTTATACAGTAGTGTCGATTTTAATTCCTTTTTTTTTTTTTTTTTTTCCAATATGGGTTTTCTTATTTTTTCCTGCTACTTCAATAAATAAACTGATACAAAATAAATATCCAATGATATGGATGACTGTTTGCAGTGTTTATTTTTGGGAATGTTTCAGTTTTCTCACACCAGGCCCTGTGTGCCCCTTTAAATTTTAATTAAGTAGTCTGTTCTTCGGCAAAGGGACTCGTATGAGTTTGTGTAGAATAGTTATATTTTTGTATCTCTATAAATCATTCTAATTAGGGATGCACCGATATATCGGCCACCAAAACATATTGTCCAAAGATGGTACTTTTTGCAAAATTACGATAATGCAATTTTCTGGACAAAATAGCTGGGCGCTTCTCTGTGTCCCAGCGGGGAGGAGAGAAACTGTCACAGGTGGCAGAGCGGTGCGGGAGGAGAGCGCCCTGAGCGGCAGGCATCTCTCCCCCCCCCCCCACACCCCCGATCCGCCCAGTGCATATGCCCACACTGACCTGACACTTCAATAGCGCTCAGCCTCCTGTCACAGATCGGGAGAGCGGTGTGGGGGTAGAGACAGCCATTGCTGTCGCAGGAGTCTGAGCGCTCCTCCTGTACTGCCCTGCCCAGCCTTCTGTAACAGCCAATCCAGGATGGAGAGTGGCGGTGTGGGCAGAGAAAGCTGTCATTGCTGTCACAGGAGGCTGAGCTCACCTCTCGCCCTGCCCAGTCTCCTGTGACAGCATGTCAGGAAGGAGAGCGAGTACAAACACTCATCGATCAGTGATCACTGAGTGTTTGTAAATAATGGAGGACATAGTATGTTTACTGTGTCCTCAATTATGATTGGGAAGTGATCTACATAACTTTCTGTTCATTCATGATTAAGGATATAGTAAACATACTAAATCCACATGCTATGAATGAACAGGAACACTTGGCATAGAGGCTTCCTGTTCATTTATAACAGAGGCTGCAGAAAAAGAGATCTTGGCAAGCAATATATGGCTAGATCAAGAGACTGTATCATGCCCATGAGTGTTCCTGGACCTGGTCCTGGGCATTGTCAGGGGGAACATTCTTTCTGAAAAATTGGAAAATGTTGCTAGTTTTTGATCCTCCTTGGGATAAACCGTGCCATCTCCCCATCCCTGCTGTGTCACTTCTCCCCTTTGCAATGGAAATACTTATACTTAGAGCTGAGAAGAAGTATACATTCTTTGCCTTGATATTGGCTGGATTATGCATGCATTACCATGTAATGTCATTTTCTATACCCGATAGATCATGCTGGGACCTGAGATTTTTTTGCTGTAGAAAATGTTGTGCACTTACCTTTGTATGAATAACTCTCTGACGTTTCCTTTTCCGCAATGGGTAGAACTGATTCTTTCTTGGGGTCCTGTCAGCTGGGGGTGTCGGTTAGTTCTGACATTATACAGAGCTCTCTGGGTTTGGCATGATTAGGAAAACTTGGAAGGATTTGTATGAGACTCTGCAGTGAGCACAGCATTGTGTGTTACCAAGACAATGTCACTACAACAGTCAGTTCAGGTTTGGCCTGTTGACACATTCCTCTGTCGTTACGGAAGTGAATGAACTTTATGTGTACTCTTAAATGTGTGCTGCAATAGTCACTGCAATGAAAGTTAGTTTTTGAAAGAATATGTGAATTTAAATACACAGTTGAAATGCATATACATGGTGAGGGGAATTTATCAAAACTGGAGCAGACAAAATCTGGAGCAGCTGCCCAGGGAAACCAATCAGCTTCACTATCTCATTTTCAAATCTTACCGGATTAAACTGAAGAGAGAAGCTGATTGGTTGCCATGGGTAACTGCTCCAGATTCTGTTTGCTCCAGTTTTGATAAATTCCCCCCGGTGTGTTTTAAGTAGGATGTGTAATTATGTTCAACCAGGCTTGTGATCCAGGCATTTTTATCAAATGTATGGTCACCTACCTGCCTCAGCCTGTGATTGGACAGTGATAGCGAAGCGGCGTACTGATGGGATCAGTCTACTCTTTCTTCCTGTAAGCTTGTTTCCAGCGTAAGACTGACAACATTGTGCAAAGAAATAAAATCTGGAAGGGTGAATACCATCACACGCTTGAATGCAAGGTCCCCCTGACTAAAGGTCCATTAACCCCATAGGGTTGCGTTAATTGCATGATACCTTGCGAATAAAGCATGCTATCGCAAAAAGCACCTAGCAATTGTTGGATTGTCATTCATTTGAATGGCACCCAACGCACCGCCTAGCCACCATGCGACGCAATGCATGGCACGCAATACTTGCATGCACTATTTTTTACACCGCAATGCACATTATTGTGCTACCAGGAGGTGTGTTGAGGTGTCATTGAATTGAATGGCAACACAACGTACCAAGAACACCGAAATGCACACTAGGTGTATCATGTGATTAACTCAACGCTATGATGTGAATGGGCACTTAAATCTGCTAGTGGAGAGGAGGGGTGTGTCCTCCTGTGACTCATGCTGTAGTGTGTGTAATCTGTTCTCCCTATTCTTCAGGTCTATTTCCTGATGGACATTGTGGCATCCTATTAGGGTTTGCCTTCTGCAGTTGGTAAATATGAATTATTCATATGCAGTGTTTCATAATTCATCTGTAAGATCCATGAGAGCCTTTCTTAAACAAATAGTAAGTTACAGGTCTCATGCCCATCACAAACCCCAAAACCTAATTTTTAGTATAGTGGGCAAAACCATACACATTACGTTATACTGTTTGACCAACTGTACTTCAGATACAGACTAATATTGTGGAGCCGTTTATCCAAACTACATACAGAGTTTTCAGGCTTGTCAGCCATCATCAATGCAGTGTAGTGATTGTCTTGTTATATTTTTTTGATATGCATCTGAAGAAAAAGAAATAAGAACAATATATATATTTTTTAGTCCTAAACATAAAAAAATTATAAGCACAAAAAAGTGTCATCACTGATACTTGACATACTTATTTGTTAAGTTATCAGCAGCTTTGTCAGGTACAGTAACTTTGGGGGGGGGGGTTTGTTCTTTTTAATATGAAAATGTCAGCAATCTCAGGGTAAGATCTATTCAAGTCTCAAAGACGCAGTCTCAGGCACAGAGTGCTAAGCGTCTAATTACAGTAATGTAATAGCGGCGGTGACGTGATAAATGGCGAGCTGCCACTGGCGCCCTGACGCTGCCAAGACTAAATTTACGACGCGCTCGCAAGCAAGGTATCGTTAGTATTGATCGCTTGTACACGGCTCATCAATAGTTAATCGATAAAGTTGCCACTTGCAGCAATCTAACAAGATAAATTAAGCTGAACAGAAGTGGACAGTTCAATTCATCGATGGATAAACACAAACCTGATAAAACTACATCACACCGGGTCTATTTAAAAATAAAATAAGTGGGCTGGGCTGGACTTTTAAAAATATTCTCCTAAAAGTGTTTTTTTTTTATGTGATTATGTTAGTTTACATATTCCCAGTCATATTTCCAGTTAATTACAGATCCAATGCACATCTACAGTGTGCTGCAACCTCCATCACAGTTCTGTAATACATTTCTGAAATGAAAAGTGATTTACTTATGCTCTTTTTTGCAGGCAGTTGGTAAGAAAAATAATGTTCCACTTAATGTAAACCTTTCCGCCATATCCAGTAGCGGCTCCTTCCCTAATTTGCTAACTTGTTTTTACTTTCCAGGAACTAAAATCAGACTTTCAGTGCAGGTGCTCCTTAAGCTTGAACGGCATATACAGTATCATATATAATCATATTATGTAACAGTGTAGGTGATTTCCAGTTCCCCTTTAGGAGGCTCCCCACGCGTAGGCTGGAAATATATACAGTGCTATAAAACAGGAAATTCACAGCCATCTTTCTATTTTACATTACTCTTTCCTATAAAGGATTATACACATAAAGTAATTCATGTATGTCTGTTTTTCCTTGCAGAAACTGCTTTACCTTTATTGACGCCAGACGCTAAATGTCCTGCAGTCTGTAAGCAAACTGTTCTGGAATTGAACACAACAAAACTATGGGTAAGTCGAGGTCTGCTCCCTTGTACTGACAGCAGGGAGGTGGCGAACAGAGAATCAATGTAAAATATACTCCGACTTCATATTGTACGTGACACAACCAGAAACAGTACTGTGAGTGTAGCATACAAAAGAGTAACTTTAAATAACTAAATATTTCACATAAAACATCTTTATGTGAAAATAGTTGTACAAAATATGTTTAAAGCCACACTCCGGGCAGAAAATAATTTGCACACTGCGCTAGGTGTGTAAATTTATTATAAAGCTGGGTGTTATGTGCAGAGGGTGGCTGCAAAGTATGAAAATCTTACCTTGCAGCACACCATCTGCTGCACATAATGCCAAGCTTTCGGGCACTGAGGAGAGGGAGCAAAAACATTCAGAAATGCGCGGCATCTGTTTTGCGCATTTTTTGCGCACATTTTCCATGTAAATCAATGTCACAGATCTGCTTACAAAAACATACACGCAAAGAACCGCAGGGAAAAACACGCAAAAAAAGCTGTTGCCCTGGTGTGAGTTGAAAGGTAAAGTTCCCCCCTTTCTGATGAAGACGCACTCTACTAGGAGTGTTAGTGCTTATTGGGCCTTTCAGCATCAAGCTTCGGTTTCTCTCATTTGTAAGGTTGGCACCTTGTCCTCTGTTCATACTTTTGCCCAGTTCTACCAGATGGACATTCAGGCCTCTGTGGATGTTCGCTTTGGGCACAAAGCTCTTCAGACAACCCTCTGATTTTTGGTGGCCCTTTCTATTATAGAGCAATGTTGGTGTTTGTTTGTGATTTATCACAGGCCTTTTAGCCATTGCTTGCTGTGTTTCTCTGTTGGACTGTTTTTAGACTTCCCATTCGTTCTAATAACTTCCTGTGTCCTGTGATGCATTCCTAGAAGAAGTCTGTTTCTTGGAGTACAGAACACAGGGACTTAACTGTTGAATGGATGGATTATGCAGCTACATTCAAGTGACTGGACCCTGGCAAATCAAAGCTGTTATGACCCCTCCTACTCCTATCCAGGGGCGTCCCGAGGCTGGGTGACACCTGGCGCGGAGACCAGGTGACACCCTGCCGTGACATCATTGCGCATGCGTGGTCGTCTTAGTGACACCTGCCAGCAGCCATCTTGGTGATGGATGCCGGAACAGGGAGGAGGAGACGTTCACCCGGCGGGATGAGGTATGCCACCGGGTCCCCTCCTCTCTCCTGACACTGTCGGGCTCTCGGTCCGTGACCGAGTGCCTGACTTTTTATAGGGGGTGACACCAATATGACTGTCAGTTATTTTGTTGTCACCCTCCAATGGTGGCACCCGGGTGCGGACCACACCTCTCCCAAACAAAAAGTACAAAAGTGGATCACAGAAAAAAGAGGAGAGGGTCCTGTGATGTACTCCAAGAAACTGATTTTATAAGTAAGACAAAAATCATGTTTTAGTGTTAGAGTTACGTAAAAGTGTTGTCAGGTTTCCCATATTCTGTAGCTACAGGTATCTGAAATGGCTTACGTTTACAGATTTGCAGCGCTGTATATCCAACACCGACCACTAGATGGCGACCTTGTTACATTTTCTGGTCAATTTTCACTTATCCAAAACAAACGTTTTTTTTGAACGCTACTTTCATCCAGGGGGGTAGTGTTATCAAAATACAATTCAGGTAGGGTTTTCATTTGTGGTAATGCAGTATATTATTATTTGCTTAGCTGGGAGACTTCATGCATAAAAACAAAAGCCATTTATTAATAAAACACATTTGTCAATGATGAAGCAGTTGCTACTAAGATTCATACACTGCACTCAAGTCTGAATATAACTACCTCTTTTTAGCAGTTACATTAGCCTCTGGTTATTTGTACCAGATATGTCTCTCATGCCATATGGCTGTGTTAATCTGAGACTCCCATTCTCTAAGGTTATATTTTTTTCTGCAGAATGAAGCTTTGCTTTTTGTCATGTCTAAACATTGACCTTTCCATGCAGTCTGTAGTACATGTAATCTACAAGTTGGGAAGTTATGTCCAACACATGCAGGCTTTTCTACATTGCTTATGTCAGGTGCTGTGATTAATCAGTAACTGAAAACGAAAATCACCAGCACACCTTGATCACGTGAGAAGCATTTCCTATATTTACATAAATAAAAAGGCATCACAGGCCAACATTTTAGGACCACGTAGAATTCCAAAGTGATAACTTTGGCGTGAATAAATGATTCCTGCACAGTCCCAAAACATTGGTCTGTGATTCCTTTTTTTCCTGGCTGTCGCTACCACTTGAACAGCCAGTACAGTTGCCTCAACTACCAGACAATTTGATGTTTCTGCTAGTTGATGAAACTATGCTTACCTCATCCTTTGGTAGACGTGCCATGGTAAAAAACCTTGACTCTTCCTGCTGTCCAGGCAGTGCCACGTCTGGGGAAAAAGCAGGCAATGGCTCGACAGTGGAGAAAACTGAAAAAATGTTGCCGTGCATCTAGCATTGGAAGCCAAGGTGGCAAGTGAAGATTAAAAACTAAGCATTGCTATCCCAAATGCTACTGTAAGATGCTTCCTGGAGTTCTCCTTTTAAGCATCACATGGACTAGATGTTTTAATGCACATGCTTGCAAATTTGAAAGCTGTTTCAGAATTAAGACTTGCAGTCAGTGTCATGGTGTTCACCAGTGACATCTAGTTTCCACAATGTAAACAAGCTCACCAGAAACAAAGTTTTGTTTTTTATAAAGACCATCCAAAGAACTTCTTACCTCTTTGCTATGCTTCCAAATGTTTTGGTTAAAGTTTAAAGTATTTGTAAAGCCCATTCTACAGGAAAAAACAATATATATATTTGTAATTCTTTTTTTTCTGTTTGTATACAGTTTGGGAGATTTCCTTCACTACTTGTCTTGGATACATGACAGGAAGTGAGGAGGAATCCCTATTAAGACAGCTGTTGCCAGGTCACAGAAGGCAATTCTCCCCAGCTGTAATACAGTCGGCAATATAAACCTCCCAGAGATTCTAACTCGTCCCCATATCAGCCAAAACTGAATTGCTTTTAAATTTGCATTTACAAATACACAGCATGTTGCATTTCTATCAGAATTTGAATTTCTTTAAAGTCTATCTCCACCTCTTTGAGGGAAAACTGATCTCTTAAGACATGGTAGCGAAATAATAAAATATAATTTATTATTAAATAATCTCTTCTAACTAGGGATGCACGGTATCGGTGCCGATACCGAGTATTTGGGCGAGTACTAGTACTCGCCCAAATGCTCTTATGCCTAAAAACCCAAACTTCCGGTATCAGGAATCCGGGCAGTGAGTCATTAAATCAGGAAGCTAGGTGGTGAGTCATTACACACTGCACGGCTTCCTGATTGGCCGGGGATCCGGCTCCGTGCGTGATGAGGGAGCATAGAGCCGGTTTCCTGGCCAATCAGGAAGAGGGGCAGCATGTAATGACTCGCCACCTAGCTTCCTGATTGCTCGGGAAGATGGCCAATGAGGAAAGCCGGATGGTGAGTCATTACCCGCTCCCCAGCTGCCTGATTAACCAGAAAGGCCGCTTCATGCTCCCTCATGGCCTTGTGACGAGGAAGCATGGAGCCGGCTTCCCGGCCACTCAGGAAGCTGGGTGCCCTGTAATGACTCACTGCCTGGCTTCCTAAATGGTCGAGAAGCTGGCCAATCAGGAAGCCAGGCGGCAAGTCATTACCCGCCCCCCGGCTTCCTGATTGGCCAGAAAGCCGGCACCATGCTCCCTTTTCACCTGGTGATGAGGAAGCATGGAGACTGCTAATCGGGAAATCGGGTGGCGAATCTTTACACGCCGCCCTGCTTCCCGGGTAATCAGGAAGACAGGTGGCTAGTCATTACACGCTGCCTGGCTTACTTAATGGGACTTCCAGTATCGGCAGTCTGTATCGGCAAGTACCAAAAAAAAAAAATATTGGTACTCGATACTGAAAAACTGGTATTGGAAGCATCACTTCTAACAATAAATATGTAAATTTTGCTCATTGTCGTTCATGTAAACTCTGTTGAGACATGAAAATCCAGTCCAGTTAGGGTATGCAGAACGCTGTGGAGTAGCTCTACTGAATATCCTGGGATTGAACCTGTGGCTCTTCCGTCTCCTGAATCCCTTGCAGAGTGCATTGGGAACAAACAAACCCTATAAGGAGTTGCAGAAGGTTTCATAGCTCCCAGGTTGCTTTACTATTCATGTAAGCATGCATCAAGACACTTTGGGGTGCTTTCTGTAGCCATTTTAGTTTTTTTTAGTGACCACTTGTGATCTCCTGCCAAAACTTTATAACAGGCAGCAATACAAATCTGACAGTTGTCCTAACACTTCCCTACGCTATCCAAAACTTAAAACGGACTTACCACCGGATATACTTTTTCATTTTAAGAACATGCATACTTATGTGTAGGTATAAAGCTTACCGCTCATTTACCTCTCATAGAGAGAACTGTACTTCCCATGACAATGCCTTCATCTCTCCAAAAGGAGTCTTCTTTGTTTAGGTATCATCAAGGGTTAGCATCTGCTTCCTAAACTGGAATGATGTATCTGACATTACACAAGCCTGTAAATCCTGGTGTCTCTGTAAGTTTTGGGCTGTGTTCACAAATCTTTGACAAATATCAGACCTTGTTGCTGCCTCTTGCCACTTAAATTGTATCAAGGTTACAATGTACAGTCTAAATTGTAACTGTGCTGAGAGGAGACTGAAGAATGCCTTCTCCTGCCTTTAGAAGACAGATGCCACCATCTCAGCCTTGGCAATTTTACTTGTTTGGAGTTCAAGGTTTGTTTTTTATTGGTATCCATTTGCTGTGTATTTATTTATTACAAGTATTTTTATAGCACCGTCTATTTATACCATGCTGGCTGACATGTCAAGAATTTATTCATGCAGACTTGTTTAGTTGTTTATCTCCTCTGCATCTCCATGGCACAGTAATGATTCTAATCCCAAACTATGAAGATGTTTATTGTCTGTGTGTGCTGCAGACTCTTGATTCCAAGATGCAAGCCCTAATAGTTGTCAGAGGCTTGTGTTGCAATGAATTTTGGAACTCATAATTATTTTCTGATACGTTCCTTGGCTCAGGAAGGAAACTGGAATGTTTATGTTGTCCTTTTCGGTAATGTTATGGAGCTCTGTGTAACATGTTATCAGTCTGTATTGGAGAATAGGGATGAGCCGAACACCTCCGTGTTCGGTTCTAACTCGAACTTTCGAACATGGAAAAAGTTCTAATTCGAACTTAGAACTCAATGCAAGTCTATGGGGGTAGAACTCAGAAAATGAAATGTCCCCATTTTGAAGCCTTATTGCAAGACTGTAGCCAATTGCCATTTCGGACAGCGCAGTGCATTGTGGGATGTCCCGCGGTCGAACAGACCGCGGACATCCGTAATGTTCGGCGAACGCTAGAACAGGCTATGTTCGAGTCGAACCTATGTGCGACTTGAACATGCAGCCCATCCCTATTGGAGAATTGAGTAATCTGTTGCAAAAGATTTGTTTGTTTATTTCAATTTAAGCTATTTTGATACAAGACAGACGTCTTGGCTCTGGCCAAATGTAATCTTGCTGTTGACTCATCTCATTGTTCGAAGGGGGATTTTTCAACGTTGTGTAATGTTCCTCGCAAATAGTGAACATTTCAATTCTCTCCCTTGCCATTTTTTTGGGTATGTGTGCTCAAGCATCCTATTGCATTTCAACTGTTGTCATAGAAATGCGGGAGCTTCTATTGTTTTTTTTTTCCTCCAGCAAAGGGATACAAGATGTTCCCTTCACACCATTGCCCTTTGTTTCAGGAAATGAGAGGGAATCTCAACAGGGACTCAGACAGCAATAAACACCATCATCCAAAATGAAAAACTATTTTGTTGTCATAGAAATGTGGGAGCTGCTTTTGATTTTTGACATCCAGCAAACAGGATGTTCAGTTTGCAGCAATGTCCTTTGTTTCAGGGAGTGAGGGGAAATTCAGCAGGGTCAGCTGATAAAGAAAAAACCAAAAATTAAAAACTGTTTTTTGGATGGAGCTTCATTTCATTCCAATTGTTGTTAAGATGTCCTAGACATATAGAACATATATAGACTATCCTAAGATATTTCTTTCCGTAGGTTTTTATATGAACATGTATGCTTGGGTCTCCCGAGGACACAAGTGTGCAACAATTGAAGTGGTTAAAGTAGTATTAAACGATCAATTTTTTTTCCAGATCAAACAAATGTACATTGCCCAACAAAGCCATTCTTTAACTTTTTGCCAAAGCAATTACAGTCATCATGTTTCCCAACAGCTGGCTCAAGATCGCCTAGCTCACTGCTAATGAAATTAACGATAATTTGGATTTTGTCCAAATCCCGAAACGAATTGACTTTTTCTGTCTTGAATCCAGAAAAACAAAATAATGAAAAATCCGAATGTAAACCAAACAAATGTTTTGCACGCACACATCTATTGTTTTTCATCTATAAGCAGCTGAAGTTAATCTGGCAAATCTATCTTGATAATTGCTGTATTTATCCATGTTATATTACCGCTGATGTTGTGGCTGATTGTTGTTTGTCTTCTCCACAGGTCACCTGGGATTGTCGCAGCCTGTCACCAGCTGAGGTTGACCTCACCTTGCAACAACCCGTGGAGGAGTATGTATAAGCGAAATGGCCTCATGGCCAATGTGACAGTCACTTCGGCCACTCCTGAGGTACGGGTTCCTGTTGATTTGGGCACTAAGCTCAGCTGTATGAAAACATCCGTACAAGCTTACTTTGGCCTCCGATCTGGCAGCCTCTAGCGTCCCAGTGACTTATGAGCTGCATTTTGTTTCTTAGTAAAGCACATAACTTTTTTTCTGGTTTCCTTTACTATGTGCAGGATTTAGGTCTGTTTATATACATGAAATTTCAGAGTATATTTATTTTTCCTGTTAGAGTCTTGTGTATTTATTTCTGTTTCAAGAGCAACTTAACCAGTCTTTTTCAATTATTCAGTCTGGGCTTGCAGATAAAAACTTTGATTTCCTTTTAAAAGGCACTACCTAGCAAATCGGATGTCTTATAGGTGTGTGTGAGATAGGTCCTTCTACCAGGGTGCCAAAAATAAGTGGTACTGATCTCTGGGCACTCGTAAATATTTTCTCCCCCTTAGACAGCAATAAACACTTGGTGGGCCTATGACCTACCTAGCCTACTCGGAGTGTTTTTGTGCTCTGGCATCCTAAGAATTTGTCCCCAGTCGACCCAGGCGTATGCAGAAACTTTACACAAAGATGACAGTTGTCACCTGGACCATAAGTGATGGGAAATCCAAAATGTTACTCTTATCGCAACAGGTCTTTAATTTTTGTAGTTTTTTATGCTCTCTCAGTTCTGTTGTTAGCATTTCCCATCTCTCTAAAGTGGAAAAAATCTCTCTTTAGAACAGTTGTCCCCTTTTCTTTCCTTTTTATGGATTTTGTTTCTTAAGATTTTTCCTTCAATCACGCATTCCTGGATGCTACAGAGCCATTGAGGCACAATTTAGCAGCTTGTAAATTGGTTAGTTTCCAGCTTTATTCTGTGGGTTGTACCCAGACACCGCCAGGGAGAAGATGCCAGGCTGGCCTGTAATGTTGCTTTGGGCACTGAATCCTGTGTTTGGTGCTCATCTTGGTTAGCTGCAGGGTGCTATGCTGGTGCTGTAGTACTACCATTGGTTTAACCCTATCTCTTAAGACCCATTAGGGTGCCTGCCCACTGGGTAGGGGCGAAAATTGCTGGATGGGGCTTGCCCTTCACACTTGCGTGGCTGGCTGGAGTTTCCGCTAGACATTCAGGTTAGTCAGGGCTTCTGTCCCATGGGAGCATGGGGGTGCTGTTGCTGCAGTCACTTAAGGGTTAAAAATTGGAGCGATGGCAGTAACATAATCTATTGCAGCTAGTTTTTGGAGATCTCACTTTATTTGCATTTTTAGATTGGGCATCTTTTGAAAGGCGGAGCTTGTGCCCCAGACATCTCGTGGCACATGCGCAGCCTTCATTCCAGTAAACGTAACTGTGCAGACACACGTGGACTTTAGCTGAGTCTCATGCCTGTGTCTGCTACACCTATACAGCCCAGCAATCGCTGAATGTTCCTCAGCTGTCTACAGTGACCGGTCACAACAGGCTTAAAAGAGAACTATGAGGTAAGTGTTTTCCCCCATAGTTCTCTTTACAGTCACAGGAGGACATATTCTAACCTTTGACGCAGTGCACATATGTCTAGCCTGCGCCAGACATACCCAAGTTCACCAGCTTGGGGCCTCTGAAAAAAGCTCAGCCTGCAAAATCGTTCCCTGTTCACTCTTATATAGCTTATTTTGTATGGAGACTGGCACCACCTTAGAGCTGTTCGTCCTTCCCAAATTATTTGTTCAACAATATCAGCAGATTCTTGTGAGTTCAGAAATTCTGCTTGGAATAGTCAGTAATTTCTTCTTTGCATCAAGGAGATTTTCCTGACCTCTGTGGACATCAAGGATAATTACTTGCATATCCCCATTTTTTCAAGGACATTAGTGCTAACTGCATTTTTACTATGGGCACACAACATTACTAATTTATTTAACTAACTAAGGGTCAGTTAGTGCTTATGCACTGCACCTTGAGCCTTCTTGAACATGCTAGCCCCAGATGGTCTCTGTTGAGGCAGTCCTATGTGCCCAGTTTCACTCCATACTGTTACAACTCAACATCTTGGCTATGTGGGGCAAGCAGGCTTAGTTTCAGGATTACCCCATATTCCTGTTCAGCCATATTGGAAATATCCCATCACCAGACCGGAATCCCAACCTGAATGTATCAGTAGGTGCGGAAATGACCTGCAGATGGCATTAGCCACGACCATTTGAATGTACAAAGATTAGCCACCAGCACACCAAAGTCCAATTCATCCTTCTGTCTTTATTTGACATCAGATAAACATGGAATCACAAATGAGTGCAACTTTTCGGAACGAAGGGACCGAATAAGGTTCTGAAACATTGCACTCGTTTGTAATGCCATGTTTATTTGACGTAAAATAAAGACTGAAGGATCAACCAGGAATCAGTCAGATATTGCAATGGCAGTGGCTTAAATCAGTCATCAGGGGAGGCATCAGAAGTCTCAAAGAACAAGAGACCTGATTTTGACTTTGGGCATGTATCGCATTCCGGCCCTGACCGCCATTCACATCACAGGTGTGGACTTCAGGAGTTATTTTGAGACCTCTGTCGAAGGAGGGGGATGCTGGATGTAAACCTTCTGGCTTTCAGGCTTAAGAACAAACTGGACAGATTCTCTGCCGGGACAAAGAACCCTCCGTCCTTCATGGTGGATGCCCTAATGATGCAGTAGGATCAGTTCAATCTGATATATGTCTTTCCTCCTCTAATGCTCCTTCTTTGTCTACTACAAAGGATTGAGGAGGAGAGAGCATTCTGGTGATATAATTGCACTTATAATAATTTAGGTTTTGAAGCCCTGGCCCAAAAGGGACAGAGACTTCTCAGTTACGGTCTTACCTACACTCTTGAAGGATTGAAAGTTTACTTCCCACAGTGTCTCCCTTTGCACTTGTGTTTAACCCCTTCGTGACTGACGACGTACAGTGTACGTCACCAGCATCGGGGCTGTTTAAACAGACTCCCGGCGACTTTTGCCGCCGGGACTCTGTTTAGTTCAAGGCAAGAAAGTTCCATCCCAGGACATACTCAGTGGGATGAATGTTAGCCTTTTTCCTGTCTAGTCTGGATCAGCATTTGGTGTGGAGCACCATCAAGGGTCTTATCTTAGCCTTGGCAGTTCTTTTTCAGAGTCCGATTGCCTTGCAGTCCTTTGTACAGGTGGTTGTTCACATTGTTTCATGTATATATTCTCCAGTGTCTCCTTGGGATCTCCACATTGTCCCAATGGTCTTTCAGAGGCCATCCTTTGAGTCAATTAGGCATATTCCTCTGTCTACCCTTACCAAGGTTGCCTTTCTCGTTGGGATCACTTCTGCAATGCGAGTTTATGATTTGGCGGCCCTGACCTGGAAGAAACCCTTTCTTCTGTTACACAACGGCAAGGTTGTTTTGAAGCTTAGAGCCTCCTTTCTTCCTAAGGTGGTTTCTTCTTTGCAGATTAACCAGGACCTTGTCTGTGTCCTGCCCCAAAACATTGTAAAGAGATTTCTCTCCATTGTTTGGATGTGTTATGCACAGTTCAATTTGACCTCTCTGCCAGTGCCTCTTTTTATCAACTATACTCTGGCAGTCCTGAAGGCCTGCAAGGGTCAGTAGGCTTATCGCTCAGTGGATTCAGCAACTCATCATTCAAGCTTATGACCTTAAAGGAGAAGTTGCTACTAGATCTGTTAGTGCTTTGGCTGGCTTTTCAGCATCGGGCATCTGTTTCTTTTTTTTTAACAGGTAAAGTTTTTTATTGAATTTTCATACATAAAAACAATCACATAAAGACAATGACAATTACAGATCGACATTCTAAACTCAGCATTTCCAGCAGTCCGTACAAGACAATACAATAATGATAACTCAAAAGATAAGGATACAAATACAAGTAGACAAATACATCAAAATAAATCGACTTGTGGATCATTACACTCTGTCTGGGACACTACCGAATCAAAACCCAGGGTCAGCCATACCACTGAAGGCAAGCCCCCATAGGGTCAAGGAGAGGAGTAAGAGGAGGGGGGAGAGGAGCAGGGGGAAGAAGCAGTCTAGCAGAGAAGGCCAGAAAAAAGGAGAGGTAGAAGAGGGGGATGAAAAGGAAGATTAGGTCAGCATCAGAAGGGCGGGAGTGGCTAAGGAGAGAAGGGAAAGGGAAGGAACAGGGGCGGGGAAAATTTAAGCTCGATAAACCGCTCCCTGGGAGAGATCACTGTGGACATGTAAGTCTGGACACAATCCTCCCAAAGATCCTCTGTCAGGGCAGGTATGTCTGCCTTCCATTTCTCGTAGAGAGGTATCAGCTGGGAACCCCCGTCACATGTCAACCGAAGGTATAAGGAGGACAGAGGCTTTTGTATCCCCTTCAACCTAAGGAATCGCTCAATCCGTTCCGAGTCAACCCTTATCGGACCAGGGAACTGGGCTCTATGTGCGTGTTGTAGCTGTAGATATCGGAACCTCATAGTCAAAGGCAAGGAATACGTGGCTCGGAGAGCTTCAAATCCCAGCAACATCCCCCCAGGCATGATGTGTTTGATCATTGTTATCCCACGCCTGGCCCAGAGCTGGGGCTCCGGGACAGAGAGCAAATGAGCCAATCTCGGGTTACCCCAAAGTGGTGTTTGCGGGGAGATAGTGCCTTCTGGCATCCGTCCCCTCCGCACCCTGTCCCACACCCCCAAAACAGTGCTCATGGGTCCCATGACCGTCCCGACTGCCTTTGGGCCCCTATACACCAGGTTGCTCAGACCAGCGTAAGATCCCATCAGTGCTGCCTCCAGGGTCACAGCCGGGTTGTCCCTATCCCCCTCAAACCACCAGTGGGCACTCACCAGGACAGACGCCCAATAGTATGATTTAAAGCAGGGAAGTCCCAGTCCCCCCTCAGACAGAGGGAGTCGCAGGGCCTTCCTGGATACCCGGGGAAGGGGCATGGTCCGATATTCCCCATGGCAGGATGGAGACATCTTGGAGCCTCGGGAGCACTGAGGGTGTAACATAGCATAGGTCAATTCGCGAGAATGACCTAT